AACTGTCGACAGCGTCGTAGTAGTTCGATCTTTCCTCAAAATCCCGATGCCTAACCACAGTTGCAAAACCACGGGCAACAATAAGCTCTGCGATATTCGTTCCCGGCTGCTGGCCGCCGGCAGTAGCTGCAGCAGGCGATGGAGTTTCATCAGAATCACCCTTGGAGGGAGAGGCAAGGAACACCGAGCCAAAATCCATGACTCTGGAATCACCAGCCCCAGAAGTAGTAGGACCATCTGCTGGGCCGACCTTCCTTGAGTATTCCATCTGAACAACAACCTGGGGTGGGACAAATTTCATATTATGCATTGCTGAGATTTAGCATAAACTAAAGAATTGATATCAAAGAAAGAAGAATTACTTGTCTGCCAATGAGCCGTTGTCTCAAAAATTCCCTAGCTTCCCGAGCGTAAGGGGCTGGTTTTTCATCTCTTCGCGGATTACCCATTTTGGGACACCTGATACTCGAAAGATTGACTCGTCTTTCTGCCAATGGGCTCCCGTATGGAATAGAATCATCGGCAACGATAACACAGTCCCCACTTACAACTTCCACTACCTGAAGAAAGTTAACAGCTAGTAAGATACAAAACTAAAGACATGTTAAAAAAAGAACACTAAAGCCATAGAAGAAGAAAGGATCTTTCCTAAAGTCCCCACCTAGACTTGAGGTATTACCTTTCCCGTAAAGTTCTGGTCATGAATCGCTTTTGAGTTTGTGGCTGGAGGAACATAGTTTGTCCACATTCTCAACCGGGTTTTCTTGGCTTGAAGCTCTGCAGCTTTGAGTTTCCTCTTGGCTTCATCTTCCATCATGTTAGCACTCCATTCAACATACTTAGCAAGACCCTGTGCAACATGAATATCAATCAACATCACTCCTTTCGTTCTAAACAGACAAGTATCGCATTCACCATTCATGCCCAAAACATGCTATAGAAAAAGCTACTGACATAACTGTGAACTATTACAATGTGTCAGCCAGATCACTCTTTAAGTAACAACAGTGAAACAGTGAGAAACATTGAATACAAATAGTTGTCACAGCCAAAAAATAGTTCAATTTGTTAGCATTCATGTGTAAAACAAAAGCCCAGCAGGGCATCAGCACATACATTCTCAACGAGCTCCAATCCCAAGTCCTTCACTGTTTCCCCATCAGAGTAATGAACTGATCCAATCAGATTGCTGAACTTATCAACACCTTCCAAAACAATGCGGACCTGCAAAATCCCCTCACCTTCATGTCATGGTTGTCATATAATTGTGAAATACCAAAACAGAGCCCAGTTGGTTGTGAAATCTCCTTACATTTCTACTCAGAACACGAAGCTCAGTAAAGTACTTAGCTTCCATTGAAAATGGATCAGGAGAAGACTCGCCAGATGATGCTGAAGAGGCAGCAAGTCTCTGAGCTGATGTTAGAGGAGCATGTGGTTCTGTAGAAACATCTCCATTTGGCTCAGATGAGGTAACATCTGTCTCAATAAAACTATCAGCTGCAGGTCTCCTTCCCACTGATGGAGCCTATTCGAAGAGCAAAATCAAAGGCAACATTCCATTTCAGAAGTTGCATGTGAAAAACATTGAACTATCAACCTCTGACAGCAAAAACAGGGAAGAACCATTTTATTTTGTACCTGAACTCCCGCAACAAATACTTGCACAAACCGAAAGTCTGGAAGAAGATAGACCCGAACAGTACTGCCGTCACGGACTTGCTCGACAATACCCTCCATGGGCTTGCCTTTGTTTGCAGCTAAAAGTCCCATGGCATCAAAGTTACCAGAATCCCCAATGGCAGAAGGAGGAAGATTTCTGATAGATGCCTCAGCGGCACCTGGAACCTGTAATGACATAGAATCCATCAGAAAAGCATACAGAATAATCCATCATATTGTAAGTCAAAACCAGCACAAGATGTTACAATCATAAAGTGAATTTATGTGAGATGAACACTTAAATTTCTTCTATAACCAAAAAAGATTAATCCAATGGTTTACTAACTAAAACACCTGACAAGTTTGTAGCGAATAAGGATAAATAAATTTATGGTTCAACTAATGGAAACTAGAAGAATAAGAGAGGGCACACAACCTTGCTCCAGCGACCAAGCCCTTCTTGCTTGGCCTGCTCTTCAAGACGCAGCAATTCTGCAATGTAAGGACTGACCTTATCCTGATTTTGCTGGCCTGGCTCCCTGACCTGTCAATGCGTTCGTTGACCAAATCAGAAAATAGTGTTGTGACCACCAAAACTCAGATTTCACGATCTAGTGAAATAGACAGCGTTTTAACCTTTGCCCATCCAGCAGCAACAACAAGCATAGCAACATTTTCATTGCCAAGGAAAACAGAGCCAAACTCTCTGCCAGCAATGGCCTCCACTTTGTAATCCACTTTGAATACAACCTCCTGCTCACGAAACATGTTGCCCAGATAAGGAAAAAGCGTCAACCATATAGCCAACAGGATCGGTAGTGTAAAGTTTTTGACTTGGCACCTTTCCTATGCAAAGTGTCCTGAGAAACTCCCTGCTTTCCCATGCAAAAGGTTCATCTAGGCCTCCCCTGCGAGCCTGGAGAAAGAAAAAGTCAAACGATAGGAAGCTCATTCTGGCATAAACTATGAAAGCTGCTTAAAAGGTTTTAGACATGATAAAAGATTTGTCCAAAGCAGACAACCAAGGTCGTTTGTGAATACAAACTGGCTTTGCAATCGCTAGCTGAACATTCATATTGTTTGCTCGCAGGACCTCGAAAGGGAATTTCCCTAACTTGATAAGTTTAGAAGAAGAATGGCTCGATTAAAGCTTACGAGCTTCGGTGACATGAGAGAAGACAGAGTGATGGTCTTTTCCGGTGGAGGACCGGGCTTGCTGTGGCTCAAAGCCGTAATCACCAAGCAGTCCCCAGAAGTCACAGCCTTCACTCTCCCCCTGAGCCACTTGTTCTCAGGCCCTGCAGCCGACGCCATGTTGACTGGCTAAAACCTACACCAGAGATACCAAAGGAAAGTGAGATTACCGCATTCACAAAATTTTCAAGTTTCCTTGCTTTTCCACATGGTGCATTGGTACCCATTTCATCAGAATTCAGTTTTTGCCTGGTCGGATCACTTCACAGATCGGTACGCTTATTGCAATCAAATTATCAAATTATCACAAGAATCACCGAAAAACAACATGCAATCGCGAAAAAAGGTAGCATGATTGGTCCTTGAAGAAACACGAAAACTGCATTTGCCTCGATCTGCACCGTAGAGTTCGATCGAGCTAATCAAAATGACGTTTCCAACGAACCAGCACAAGCAACTTCAACCCACGATCGAAATACGTGAAATCGAGATCAGATTAGGATCAACTAAGGGATAGATCTACGAGAAATCTTCGACGATTCCGATGAACATACCTTGACTATACGGGAATATCTGGATCTGGAACAAGAACAAAAATAAGAAAACAAAATCACTCGTTTTCTCTCTGATTCAATCTGAGACTTAACAAAAAAAAGGGTCAGAGGAGACAAGCTGTGGGATTGAGAAGGATACGGCGAATCTCGAGATGCAGCACAGAGCCCGGAGATGGACAAAATATAAAACAGGAGGGAGGGAGATATCAGCCTACGTGAATATGCCCCTGGAGTTCATAGGAATTACACGATTTGCCATTAAGAGTAGATATTGTTTTGCGGAAATATAGGTTGTTTTGTAATCGCCACGTCAGCATTGTTTCACTTTTGAGTTAAAAACTAATAATCTCAAATAAACCCTATAATTATCTGATTTTGCGGAACGGTCCTCCTTGTAACTAAATCACCGTAGTAATTAGCAAACTTCTAAGGAAAATGAGATCTGATATTTTTATGGAATAACCAAATGCTAATAGATGTGGTCCTCAAGCAGAGACTGTTTTCAACGTGCTCGACCTAATTCATTTCGTTTTTTTTCCTTTTATATAAGATTCTTAAATATTCTGTGCATTTTAAAAAAATATTACACATATATATATATATATATATATTATATAAGTGCATTTACTTCGTTGTATCGAGTGGTAATTTGTAGATCTTGAGATAGTTTTTCTGATTAAAATTATATAATTCTAGATCATTCGTTCACCTTATTTTTATAATTTTTGATCTAAAATGACATATATGGTTAACGTAATCCATGAAAGTCTACACGTATACCGTAATAATATTCAAGATTTATAAATATCTTCGATTTTGATTTGAATCATAAATTCAAATATTACAGTCTGTTTTAGTTAAAGAAATTTGTAATGCCCAGAATTTTTCAATATTCATAAATATATTCTAAATATTCACATGTATATATATATATATATGGTTTTTACAGAATTTCAATTGGTTCAGAATTAATCAACAGCAAATATAAAATGACCGATGGTATAAAGTCATCAATTGGAGCAGGGGTCTATCTGTGAATTATAAAAGTACACGGTTGAATTTCAGAAAAGAACTGTGAAATGGGGCATAAATGCAAATATTTTGGGGCGGCAGATACTCTATTTCACGCTATATATATATATATATATATATATATATATATATATATATGTATATGTTGGGATGCGTATCTAGGCGTCTCTCCGTGAAAGGAAGGAAACAGAAGGCCGTTAGATTCTGACGGTGGCAGAATCGTAGGCGACACTCCGTGATTCCACCAGCATCATCATGTACTTTCCTCGTCTTGTACTTTTTTGTCTACATAAACCTCGACATATATATATATATATGTATATTCTTTTATAATAGAAAACTCCATACAAACCCTCAACTTTTCATTCAAAAAAATCCATAATATTTCAATTATTCGCAACTCTAAATAAACTTTCTGTTTTTTAAACAATATCTAAAAAACCCTTAACTATTATAAACATCCGTTTAAAACTTCAAACATAAAAAATTCAAATAAAACATAAAACTTTTAATAAATTCAATATAAAAATATATTTATAACAATAATAATTTAATATCATAACTATATTTATATAATATAATTTATATGATTAATTGGTGAACTAATAAATATAACAACTTTCTTGTATTTTTAGAAATATAATTTTTTTATATTTGTAGATAATTATATATCAATTATATATAAAATTAAAATTATTCGTTAATTATATTTTCTTAGTTTATCATTTAAAATCATATATATAATTTAATAATAATAATATATCAGTATTAACATATTATTATAGTAAAATTATTATTATTTACATTATGATATAATAATTTAATAAAAAGTATGGTATTTTGTAGATGTTTTTATAAAAAATTTATATTTTTATAATTTGGATTTTAAAAAGATTAAATTTGTAATTCTTTATAAAATATTTAAGATTTATTTAGATTTGTAATTCTTTATTCTATTTTTTATTATATATATATAAATATGTTTTGTATAGTTTTTTTAAAATTAATAATCTAACTTTTAATTGAATTTGGTTGAACAAAATTGCCAAACTGCAACATAAAAGCTTTCAAAATTACAAACAACAGAGACGAATATCGTTGTACTGTTCATTTTTTAATGGACGTCTTCCCAACGAAAATAAAAGATTTTCCCCATTATTTTTTTTTCATGTTCCGATATTAAAGAATTCAAGTACGTGACCAACACGTTTTACACTATTAAAATACCAAAAGAAGAGGAGAATCCACCACGACCAATAAATTAGACTGCAATGTGTACAATAAATCATATGATTATAAAGGTGCTTTGCGCGTAAATAATTATAACAAGGGGTTGGCAAGTGATAAACTGCGTGTCAACATTTCAATTTTCATAATAGCGGAACACTCTAACTGAGGCAGAAGGTTAGCCATGGGTTGAAAAGATGAACAATACTTCATATTATTAGAAATATATATTATTTCTCCCATCACTTCATGTCCGAGAGTTATCGGCAGGAGTTATCTTAGGAGAAAATTTCTTTTTCTTGTTAATTTATTTCACGATGGCTTTTTTACCAGACTCACGGATATGCTCATGACTCCAGTTCTACCGACGGTACCGAATGTCGGACGCAATGCCGTTACGCCGCACCGGCCTGTAGGATACGTCATCGAGCCTACTGTTTCCGAGCCAATTGAAAACGGGACCATTCCTGAACCAGTTTCCTTCAGCTAAGTCCACAGAAAAACTATCCAAGCGTTTTCGTTTTCAGAATTCATCTACCATCATGTAAAACGAAAAGGAAAAAAACGATGGAAATCCTCTACTTGGCGAAAGGGAAACTAACCAGCCGATGTGGAAGCAGCAGGTCCAGCTGACGAGCCGGTAGAGAATTCCTCGATATTCCACGGGTTTCTAGTCCGCCCACCGAACCTGATGTCATCATAGGCCAACGAACCAGTGACAAGCTTCGCTACTAGAACAACTCCTGCAGATTTTAACCTGACAAAAAAAAGGCGAAGATGCAAACATGAGCTCGTTTTGGTTCGGATAGAGCAATTCTTTTACACACGATGGTCACGGTAACTTTCAGGACCTCTTGTAAACCCATGCTCGATATCAAGCACTTGATCCTTGAAAGAAGTCGAACCCCATGTTGTTTTGTATCCAGGCACCGAGATTATATCCTTCAATCCATATGGGATCCCGTGAAGTGGTCCTATTACACGAAAACATAACACAGAATTTAGGAACAGCTATAGCTACAGCACCAATTTCTCACATACTCTTAGATCAGTGGATACCCAGATAAATTCCTCGAGCAAGCAACTCATCAGCTTCCTTAGCCTGTTTGTAAGCTAAATCTTCAGTACAAGTGACTACCGCTTCAAGAACAGGATTGTACCTGTGTCAAGATTCCCCGTTACCTCATCAGTACACTTAAATTCTGCAGGGAAAACCCATTAGATCAAACATTTGTACCGTTTCAAATATATCCTAACAAGCTCCTGGGAAGTCACTTGCTTCGTCTTTATCAGTTCGCCAAGTTGAAGAACCTGACATATCGATGATCATCAGAAGAAACAAACTCAAAGTTCAGACAAGGCACTCCAATTATCGATCCGGGTCCATAGAAAGAGAAAACCCGCCAGAAGAAAAAGAACATGTCGGTGAAATGTAACTACAGGAACATGGCTTACGCTCATGAAAGCAATATCTTCTTCATTTTCAGGCCTTTGTACACCAGTTACAGAAGGGTATTTGAATTTCTTGGTTTGTGCTTGAGGACCTTCTCCGTTCCAAGAGGGATCGAACACCAACGGGGATGGATTCTCCAACCCACCATTCTTGGTAGCGACTAATTTTCTGTTGGCTCTAAAAATAGGAACATTGAATTCTCTCGCCCCCTTGGCAATCTCCAGAATCTAAATCCCAAAAACCGCAATAAAGCAAAAACATTTATCTAAGCTGCTATGTCTCCGAATATAACATATATAAGACAACCTTCTACGTACCAATTCAAACCAAATCACTTAAGAATCAGAATTAGACCAACAATTTTGGATCATATCGATTTAGGTACATAGAGAGTTAAGATCACCTTAGTTTCACTGAAGAATCCAGCATCAAGCAACTTGAACGTGCTCTTCAGACACGTAATCCTCTCCGGAAGTTCAGATTAGTATAGTTACTGTCCTGATCATGAACATTATATAATAACACATGAATCTCAGGGAAACATACTACTCATGATCTTTTCATCGGTGCATTTACAACGATTTACCTCGGCATGGTTCTAGTCTTACGGGATGGAACACCGATTTTGAGGTCGAACAATTTCCAGAGTTTCTTACAATGTCTCACCTGGAGGCAACAGTTAGTATCTACTGTTCTCGTTCCGCCACTAAGCATTTTAATCCTCTCTCTCTGTCTCTCCGTCAATATATATACAAACACATACGCACCCTTCAATCCATATTCCTAATGGCTTAATTTCATATTTGCCTTCAACGCCTCTGTGGATGAACATGTACACCAAGACGCCTATATATATGTATGTATGTATGTAAAGGAATCGAGAAGATTATTACCATTCCGATAGACAGATTGGGTCTAGATGAAGCGAAGAACAAGGGAGAAGCTTCTTTTCAGCGCGATCTGCGTCCTCACATCCCGCAGTTTGTAAACCTAAAAAGGAGGCAAGAGAGGAGGAGAGAAGAGCAGGAGCACGAGGACGAATGACACATGTCCATTACGAGGCCGCGCGTGAGGACACGTGCCCAAGCATGGAACCACCATCGGCTCGGAGACGACGGACGAGAAAAATCGCAAGGGTAGAAAACTATGGTACAATCTCTGGAGTTGACTCTATCGACTTTTGCGAAGACAGAGAATACCGACTCCGTTAATTCTTAAATTAAATGAGACTGGGCTTGTATCAGATTTCAAGGCCATGGTCTTCCTACATTTAAAAACTACAGGGACTGAAATGAAACAATTATAAATCACCCTTCCAATTTCCATTTCGCGCGCACCACAGAGGAAGATGGTTCTTCTATGCTTCGTCTTGGATCTGCGAAATATCTCTCCTCATACGCTTGAACACCTTAAGCAGGTCTCTCTCTCTCTCTCTCTCTCTCCTTGTTTTCATTATCGGTAGAAGATTTTGTTCGAAGATTGGTCGATCTGCGTGTTGATCGAATGATTTGATTTTTTTTCCTTCGAATTTCACAGTCGTTTCTTCAGCTCGGCAATCTATACTCTATTTCTTCTCCGGAAGGTTGTGTTAGTGATCGGATCGGTTTGTGCTATGTCCTGAAGGATTGGATTTCAGGCAACGATCAGGTAGGTATCTTTTCCTTGTTTTTTTCCTTACATTTTCTTTGGTTTTTTTCGGTTTCTTAGATGTTGCAATTGCTGTGGCAGTTGAAGATCGCTTACAGTCCCAGCCAGAACTTTGATCTTCGCGATTTTCACCTTGCCGTTAGCAGCTTGCCTGTAGATGCAGTTGTCCCTGAAATCAACGAATCTGGAGCCATCTCTTGCAATGGTCTCTCTCTACAAGTACCGCTCTCCCAAGATGTTTGGATGATTATTTTTCCGATGATTAATTCATGTTATTGTTCATAGATCTTGAGCTTTCAAGTGTTCTGTCTGATCAAGCATTGTATTCTTGGGGAGACAAAGACACGATGAGGAAAATTATCGTGCTGAGTTCGTGCTTTCCTGAAAATATCAATCCTGAAGCGAAAAGCACTCTAATGGTGAGCGAAATATCACAATCAGGCAGATTCTCTGCTGCGCGTTCGCTTATCTTCACACTTCTAAGTTGTTTTGCACCAGGCTGCAGCAGATAAATGTGTATCAGTTGAGTTTCTGCTGCTTGAGCAGAAAGCAAGCCACCTGAGTTATGTGCAAGAGAGGACGAACAATTTCCTTAGATGCATATCAGATCTCGACAATTGTTCGCTTCAAACCTCTATCCCTGGTGTGTGCCAAATATTTGGCTATTACTGCATACTTTTTCTAGGCACTTGACGTATGAACATTTGCCTCCTTTCTCTGAACCTAGTTGTAGCAAGGTAAATTGCCCAGCATTTTTCTTTGGTGTTTCGGAATCAGATATGATCTGAATCTGAAAATTATATGCATAGTCGAGAAAAAAAGTTCTTCTGAGATTCGACTGATTTTCTTGAACGGCTTCGTTTTAAATATTACCTGAGAACAATTATAGTCATTAGATTTCCAGGCTAGATTGATTGTTTGAATTTGTTATCTGAATATAGTTTCAGAACCTCGAACGGGGGAAAACAGAAATAGCCCCTAAATTCTTGAACCATCCCATTATCCTTGCAGATGCAAAAGCACTTCATGGGCTCGTGAAGCGATGGCTGCAGGATTTAAAGGATGAGATGGGAGAGGCACTGCAGGCTCAATTTATCTTCAAACATAACCTTGTTGGGTCAGTGAACAAGATCTTCTGCAATTTCACTGCAGCTGTGAATAAGATCATTGATGGATTTAGCCCCTGTCTGGTAATGAGCCACGCCAATTAAATCTTTTCATTCCCAAAGATCTTCTACTTAGTTCTGCATATATATAGCAGAATCGGATAATTGATGTACTAGAACAGTAGGACACTTCGAGGGTTACACTACTCTTATCCGTTTTGTTTTGTCTGTTGCTTTTAGACATGCCAGTGCCAAGGCATGCCATTAGATGATGCAGTGGCAAACAAAACAGAGTTGCTTTCATGTCCCATCACGGATCATGATCTGGAAAAGCTTGATGTGATCGAAAATTCTGAGAAAGTTGGTGACAGGACTGTTCTGTTTATGTCTTCAGTCCAGAGCTTCCAGAAACCTCATCCAATTTCTTCACCAATAGATTTCAACGTCATAGAGAGAACTAACTTAAGTTCTCTTTGCGAAGGTGGGCATTAGAAACTGTGATTCTGGCTTGAACAAGCTATGTTCTAGATTGTTTGTCCTCCTTGTCACTTGATTTTTTTTCTCAATCTAAAAAACTTGCTTCAAATATGTTATCACCTTTATTTATTTTGGCTGTCATGCTTCATTGCACAGGTCTAATAATGGGGACACCTTTCATTGTAAGTCCTTCAGCTTGTCACGAAATGGAAGCTGCTTCAGAAGAAACTGATCAGTCAGATTTGAACACTCATAGTATGCAAATTGTTTCCTCAAAAAATTCTCATTGCATGACATGTATGCATATCACGCTGATCCTTTTTTATCTTCATATGTATATCTTTTCGTGTCGCGATTATAAGTCGGATTGCATTGTCTTATCTAGTCTTTTTAATAGCTTCCCCCCTCGTAATCATCTGAGCAGTTAAACTTCTCAGTTTTTCAGGGACTTTGTTTTGCATTATATTCAATGGACCAAGGCTTGGTTTGTACTTCAAACTGTAACATGGAAACCATGAGGGTAACAGAATTTCATTGCTATTACATTCTTCAACCATCAGAAAATGGTCCAATGCTTCTGAGGGTAAAATTTCAAGACTTCCCACCTTGCCTAATCTAATAACAGTGGCCTTCTGAACATCAGTCTCTCTCTCTCTCTCTATGGCATGATCATGTGTATTTTATTTTGATAATTTTACTGATTGAATGTTCGCAGAGATTGGCTGGATCAGAAGAAGTCTCGCCTATTTCCAGCATCACTCGGTTTGTCGAATCCTCAGTTCCTAGAGAAATTGAGGCCTCTGTGAAGAACTCTTTGTTAGAGGTCTATTTCAATTTTGAGTTGTTGGTTATATATGTGAAAAACTGCTAAATACACAAGTAATAATGTACAATTGGAGTTCCTCCTGTATTAATAGTACTTCACAGTCTTATATGTGTTCTAGCAGATAGAATCATCAGACTATGATCCTCTGATGCACAAGAGAGGGTTCCATGAAAACATGAATCTTAGAGTGAAGTCAAGTCTTCAATTCAAGCAAGTATTATCGTCTCTTCTCTTCTTAAATTAGTTTCCGTAGCATCCTATGCAAAAGATTGTTGTTCTCTCTGTTTCTGAGAGAGTTTTTGTCCATTTATTTTTCTCCGTGTTCTTACACATGCATAAACTCTAACGCAACACATCCCTCTATCCTTTGTCTTTGTTTCTGCAGGTCAGTAGTATCTCCAAAACCGAAGGAAGTAACATATGAAGCAAACTCAACAGTATCGAATTCTCTACAAGAAGCTATACGACGGTTTCCAGAGACAATTATATGCATTGAAGAAGACACCAATAAGCCCGAGCAGATATCTGAGGAGGAAGAAGAAGACAAAACAACAGCTTCTATTACCAAAGAATGGGAACAGTTGATTGTCACTGAAGTTCCCAGAAAATATTCCCCGCCTTCCTCTACACCCAAACTGAACAAACAAATTGACACGAAAACTTGGAGAATATTGGAGAGATTGGAAGCGCCAAAGCAGATGATGAGAGGAAAGAATGGGTCACCAAATAAGAAACCTTTGGTGGTGCCTCCTATGACAAGTCGTGCACCATCTGCTTCTGCTACTGAACAGCTTGTCTCTTCAAGCCAGCTTATGAAACCCAACTTCCAGAGGCCGAAACGTAAGCATCACTGAGTTTGTTGCTTTTCAAGGAATCAGGTAAATAAATTCTTGCGATGCTTGTACCAGTTTGCATCCAGTTATATCCGGTTTAGTTCAGTATTATTTTGCATAATCCCCTGCAGGTGGACGTTTTGGGTTTCTATTTGGTATTTTATCGAGTTTGATTTAAGAACGATTCATTTGGTTCTATAGAAATTGTATCAAACTAGAAGTAAATGTTACTCGGTTTAGTTTGATTTTATTATTGGTTCGGTTGGGAAGGGTTTTATTATATGATTACCAAACAAGAACCGAAATTTGATATTCACATGTACAAAGGGTGGATAATTCAGATTCTGGTTCAGTAAATATTTGATCGATTTGGTATTTTTCGGATTCGGTTCAGGAATGATTTATTCGGTTCTACCAAAATTGTACCAAATTGGGGTCAAATATTATTCAGTCTGGTCTGGTTCAGTTTCAGTTCGGACCGGTTCGAAACTAAATTAATGAACCGAAACTCCAAAAATAAAAGAAGCTCTTGTTTATTTGTGATGGAGAAACAGAGGACCTACTACAACTTTCAACTCTCATTTGTGCACAGGTAACAAAACTTATCAAGTGAAACAGTGTCTGGTTTCACTTCACATGAATGGCGCCGAGAGCTTGAGACGCTCTGGGAGACATTGGAGGACGGGGCGGCCTGATCTGAAGTTCTAAGCTGTCTTTTTCAGTTAAAGGGTCCACCAGAGATAGAGGCATACCGGTCGGTATATGCCTCGGTGCCGGTATACCGGAGGGATGAACCGGCCGAGCTCTCGCGTAATGAAACATTTGTGGGAATATTAGAGATGGTGCAGGGTAGTGGCTCTGTATGGTTCGGTAGATTGGTCGGTACCCCATACGTGGATTCTGAAACGGATTCAAGATCTCGAACTGTGCACGACCCTGTTTTGGCAAACCACGCAATTACAACATTCCTATCACACATATAGACCAAAGTTAACATGAGAAACATTGGCATTGTTACTAACCCGAACCGGTTCTCTCTGTAAGGTTGTTGGTTTAGCGGAAGATGAGGAACTAGCCTGTAGAAACGAACAACAAACCCAAAGTCATATATAAGAAACAAACTCCTGAGAAATCTGTTGGACTTTTGTGGTTTCTTGAACAAGAAGCTTCTACCTCAGGAAGAGTCTTCGGTGCTTCAAGTGCAACTGCCGATGCTCTTTCAGGGTTGCTGTCTTCCTGTTCAACAGAACAAAAACACCGAAACCCAAACTCAACGAACATGTTCTCCTGTAAAAGTGGTTTCTTGTGGGGCAAGAAAACTATACCGAGTTGAAGGTAAGGGGGATGTCGAATAGGCTGGCTCGGCGTTTCCTCTTGTCGCCGGCGTTCTGCCGGAGAAAATACTTCTGGGCATGGCTTGCGACCTGAGTCGGAGTCCTCGTCACCACGAATTTCTTCGAAATGCCTCTCCAGTCTCCTTTTCCGAGCAACTTCAGACCGGCTAAGAACGTCCGGTGCTCCTCCTCCGTCCACGGCTTTCCTGTTGGCCACCCGCAATTCAAAACCCTAAGGGCACATTCACAGACAGTTCATAGATACAGACAGATGCTGATAATTTCGTGATTACCCTTTTTCTTTTCACGTGCGGATTTGCCCTTCTTAGAACCAACCAGGCCGTCGGAGAGATACCCGGGATCTTCTGCTGCGGCGGCGCTAACGTCCAGAGACCGAAGGTTTCCCAGACTGAGACTCTTCCTTAACGCCGTTAATCCTTCCGGCTCCGGAGCCGATATGTTAACGCCGAACAGTTTAACGCATGGTTTGTTCACGCCGTTAAGGATTGTCCTTGCGTTATCACACGGCGAACACGTCTTCACCATCTCACTCTTCAATGTCGAAGAAGAGAATCTCTCTTACACACACACATATATATATATATATATAGAGAGAGAGAGAGTATGAAGGTGCATGAGCTGGTTTTGGTGAATTTCCTTTAATGTTGAACTCGTAAAACACGTTCCTAAAGATAGTTTTGTGATTTTACCTTATTTGTCTTTCTTTTCTTTTTTTCCGAAAGTCTTTCCCATAAGCGATGACAAGGAATATCCAGCCGAATATCGGATTCAACGGTTCAGAATTTAGATCGTTCTGCTGGCTAAGATTCTCAGCCGTTAGATTATCTCCAGCTTAACCTTCCCTGGATTTTTTTCCGGGTATTTAGGTGAGGTTTTAAATTCGTGTATTGCGCATCATTTTTCGTAATATGTCATTTTGATCATTCGTATTAAGATAAGTGAAAACATCATTACTAAAAATCAACAAAAAAAAAAAATTATAGATACCAGTTAATGATTTTTTTTATTAGCACCCATTAAAGTAAAGACAAGATGTTAAGGAATCTGGATTTAGTGGATTTCTCGGATTCCGTAACAGAAAATTACATTAAATTCTCTAAGTTGAAGAACTACGAGTCATGGAAAGATAGGTCTATATATATATCGTAAATTCGCGTGTTCTTTGTGGTAATATTCGATTATGGGATGAGACAGACACAAGAAACATAAAACTCTTCATGAATCCAAACAAGGAAATCAAACAGACAAGAAGATCTTAGTTTATACAGATTGAAACTAAGCAGCACCTGAATCAGAAACACACATAAAGATGCCGTCTTTTTTTTTTTAAACGGGCTTATATCCTGCAATAAGGCAACGCAGAAGAATCCACATCGTCAAGAAAGAACAGATCAAAAGCCGACCTCGGATTTGTCAGTGCATGAACCTTAAAAAGCCTTGGAAGAAGGGTTAGGTGTTATACATGTGTGTAGGTATGTTTAATAGTTATTTTTTCTGCGATTTCCATTCCACGATTGCGGCGTGAAGCGTGTAGTTTGGAAGAAGGTTCTTGCTGGGCAATGGAAGTTTCGTCACTGGCGATGCATCGTGGTCTCGAAGCCACTCCTCTATCGCCTGCCGATCGTATGTGTACCCGTCTGCTGCAACACATGGTTCCTTCATCACATCCTGAGGCCAAAAATCGAAAAATAACCGATCAGAGACTGAAGGAAACGGCGTTTCTTGATGCGCAAGAAACTGATCGGTAGGGTTAGGTCGCTCTGACCATGAGGAGTGGGCATATGAAGTGACTCGGAGGTCTGGTCATAGCCTTCAAGAGAGAACTCTGAGCCGCCTTATCTGCGAATTTCCTCAGCCGTTCCAATGTCGGAAGTATCTGATCCTTAAGATCGGGTCTGTCTCTCCTTCTCAGCTCCGTACACCACAGGGCCAACGCAGCCAGCTCACGCGTCTCGTTGATTGGCCACTCACCCGCTTTTGCGTCCAACACTTCCATGAACTGAGCATCATCTCCGATCGCCTCTTCCACTAAATGGGTAACCGCAATCGCTGGTTTTGCGGTCATCAGCTGCAGGATCACAACTCCGAGAGAGTAGACGTCGGATTTTGGAGATATGATCCCACTTCGCTGGTATTCTGGATCGATGTAACAGAGGGTTCCGACCGGGCTGGTGTCCTTGTAAACGGTGAGTTTGGAAGAAGGGTCGTCTTGGTTGACCATGGTGGAGAGGCCGACGTCGCCGAGTTTGCTGACGAAGTTGTGATCGAGTAAGATGTTTGCGGGTTTGAGGTCACGGTGGATGATGGGTTTGGGCCTGGACTTGTGGAGGAAGACGAGCCCTGATGCAACCTCCCATGCGACTCTGAAACGGTCGAACCAGGGGATGGGTGGTGTGCCATTGACGAGCATTAACCGGTCCTCTAAGCTTCCATTCTCCATGTACTCATAGACAAGGCAACCTCGCTCTGGACACGCTCCTAGGAGGAGGACGAGGTGAGGGTGTCGGATTTTGCTCAGGATCTCGAGCTGCAACAAGAGAGAGAGAGGGATAAACCCATTAATCTGGAAACTGGAATCATCAGATTGATGATAAACTAATGATGGGTTTTGTTAATCATTACCTCCTGATCGAACTGCTTAGAGAGCTGAGATTCACCGGCGTGAAGGACTTTGACAGCGGCCATCGTGTGATGAAGATTGCATTTGAAGACTGTTCCATAAGCTCCTTTCCCGATCTGGAGCTCCTCCGAGAAGTTAGAAGTGGCTGCCACGATCTCGTCCCACGTGAAAAGATGGTACTGAACCGGTGGAGTGACGAGAGCGAGCTGGAGCTTCTCCTTCTCTCTGGCCTCTCTCTCTGCTTTGATCTCAGCTTCTCTCCTCTTCAGAGCTTCTCTCACCACTTGTTCTTTCACCTTCTCCGCCTCCTCCTTCTCCTTCTCCTTCTCTTCTTCTTCCTCCTTTCTCCTCAGCTCCCTTTCCTCCAGCTGCATCCAAACAAATGTAAGATGAAAACTGACGTTTTTCGCAACAGAAACGTCGGAAAGAAAAACCCAACCTTTTCAGACGCATTGACCGTCTCGGTTTGAGCCATGGCGTACATCTCCTGTATGCGTTTCAGCTCAACGTTGAGCTTCTCGATCTCGAAGTTCAGATTCACCTACGAATATCCGGATTCAGATACAGAAAATACATCATCCAACTGAAAAACCCGAACCCGTTGGAGATTGCTTACTACAACCTGGTTATCAGTGAAGGAGTGGACACTGAGGAGACCTTCGGACATGAACGAAGGTTGATGAGAAACACTGGAAAAGCTGTCGGGAAGAATGGTTCCCCAGTCAATGTTGGCGAGCTCGTAATTGTTGCTGGCAGTTGAACTCAAGATCTCTCCTCTCTCCTCGGCTTCTCTCCATCTAGAAGACCAGCTCATCACTGGAAACGTTTCCAAGGAAAATCTTCCATCGCTCTCTCCTTCGCCGTTTTCCACTGGAAAAAGAACGTTACTTATCTCCGGAAGCATCTCCTGTTCTTGATCCGGGTTCACAGCAGAAACCCGTGATTGCGCATCAGAAGCAAAGGAAGCCAGTTCTTGGATTTCTTAAAATCAACCGAACGAAAAGGTTATGTACTTGTTGAAATGAATGGATAATGTGAAGAGTGACGTCTTAACGCTATATATCCGGATGCATTGTAGAAGCAATATATTTATAAACCTGAAAGGCGACGAGTGTTTATGTACTTGTTGAAATGAATGGATAATGTGAAGAGTGACGTCTTAACGCTATATATCCGGATGCATTGTAGAAGCAATATATTTATAAACCTGAAAGGCGACGAGTGTTGCGGCGGGGGGAGCCACTGGTGGAACCGCTTCTCTCGGTCCCTACGTATCGGATAGTTCCATTGGTGTCGGAATCCGAGGGACGTACGGACGCCAACTTCCCCTTAGAAACCACATAGACAGTGCAGAACCTCGGGGTGGCTGCTGCAATCATCAACGACATATCGATCTTTCTCGAGAAGAATCCACGCATCGACAGTCCGATCACGAGCTTGTCCGTCCCGCTGTTTGTCATTTCCTCGGCTATCGCTCCCACCGTATCTTGAGATTCCAACACCATAACCTCTACTTGAACCTTTTTTTTTCCATTTCGACATCGCCTTTTTTTTCAGACATTTTGATGTTTAATAGTTAAATAGGTAAGAAGGTATCAGAAAAGATCCGTCTCACCTTTCTCCGCTCACACATCTTCTTGTAAGGACGAAGCATCTCGCTTGTGTTCCACTCCACTTCTTGCTTGTAAGCCAAGGCAACGTCGTCCCGAACGTCTGAGATCGGTATTGCGTTCCCCACTGCAATTTGGAAAGGAAAAAAAAAACCCAACAGCAGAAATTAATGGATCAAATTCTCTTAAAAAAAACATGAATCTGTGTCTGAACATACTCGGGGTAGGAACGGTGAGGATGGGAGGGCGAACGTAGAGCAACTTGAAGGAGGACACGCCGTCGGGGATGAACTTCTCCAATGCCCAGAAGACGATGTACTTGCTTTTCTTCTTCCCGCTGATGGCTATGGCGACAGCTTTCGATGGCATTCCCAGATGTTCGCTCAGTGATCTGACCACCATCTTCTGATCTTCCATTGTCATCTGAACTGGTAACTGCATGTTAACCCGTGAATCTTAGATCGACAGAGCACATGAACGTGATCTGAAAGAACCGTTTCCAGGACAAAGGACTTCAACGCAAAACATAAATAAAAAAGAAATTACATGGGACTCTCTGTTATATGCACTGAAGAGAGCATTAAACCTCCAAGGGACTCCAACAAGAACAATAAGAAGAAGAAGAAGCCTAGAGAGAGAGAGAGAGAGAGAGAGAGAGAGAGAGAGAGAGAGAGAGAGATTAGGGCACAAGTGAGCACGTTGTTGCCGCCACAAAACCGTTTATGCTTACAAACAGTCAGCTCCCATATTCTCTCTCTCCGTCTCATATTAAACGACTTTTTCATTATTATATTTATTTATTTATTTTGTGCCTTTCTTGAGATTCCATTGGCTTACACATTAAAATTTTCTGAAAATAATATAATAAAAATAAACAATTATTATATTGCTACTAAATTCAACGTAAAAGAATCTTCATGGGTATATCCCTCGAGAATGTGCTATTTGGTCAATCAGGATGAGAATTAATTATATAATTTTACATATCAGATTTTTCTTATTATGCGGCATTCTTATCTTACAAACGTTTACTAAGTAATGTTTTTTCTATGCACATGCTATTAAAATTGTTTTAAGAATATTAACATATCTAATTATTAAATATTTAAAATTAATGCTATCTGTTAAATAATATCTAATTTTATCAAAGATACTTATTGCTCATTTAACTTCCATTTCGTTTTTTGTATTACTAGAAAACACGAAAAAAGTGATACGGATGGCGTAAAATTTGTGTTACTATCATCCTTTTGCTTTTGCTGTTTTTTTGTCGTGCTAGTAATGACATCTTTTTGGGATTAGCTTTTTTTAAGGTAACACGATTTTTTTCAAAATTTTCAGAACAAATTAATATACCGTGAAAAAATTATGAAATAATCGTAAAAAAAAATTCATCACATAAAACGACTTTTTATACTTGAATGATGTCTGAAATATCACTAAAAATGAGTTCAATAAAGAGTATTTTTCACCCAGATTAGTTTCGATTTTTTTTTTTAAAAAAAAAATAGAGTTAGACTTAGAAATTGATAAAAAGAAAGCTATTTTTATATAGAAAAAATTGGATTACACGAAGGTTAACGGTTTAAAAAAAATATAAAATAACCATTCTTATAGATTTGATTAGTAGGCTACATGTCTTCATTATTCACGTCTTCTCGTCCCATAAAATTTGACTATTAAAGTGTAGATTATAGTATTGTTATTATATATTAAACGCTTCATACAATTTCATATTTCTTATAAATATAAAAATGTGATACAAAATAAAAATCAAATCGTGGAGAATATACCTGCGAAATTCCTTAGGATGTTCCTAATTTTTACAAAAATTATTATTATCATTATTATTGACTTTTTATAAGTCAACGGTGTCATGTCCGATCGGAGTTTAGACATATTCTGAAACTAAGCGGGAAAAATATGTCATCTTATTTTTAAGGATTACAAGTGGGAGACGCGAACGAGAGGCTGTTTCTTATTTCCAGACACGGACTTCCTGTCGTTTCTCGTCAAGAAACACAACGACTTTCAAAGTGAAAAATCAGACAGCTTCCATGGAGATGTCTCAGGGATTCGTACCAGAGCGATGCAAGCATCCACTGCTTGAAGCTTAAATACCCATTCAGTTTATGAGCTGAGTTTATTGCTGTTCCAAAGGCTTAGTTCATGTTTCAACGCTACAGAGCAGAAGCAACCAATGATTCAACTGAATTTGGTATAAAACAGAAGCATGTGTTCTGGCCAGACAGACCAGCTTTAATACTCTAAGCTCTAAGATATACAGACAGAGACCACAAGAAGTGAAAAATCCTCTACTCAATCCGCTGCAGAGTCACATAAGTGTTTCTGTCTTCACAGAACCTAATGGTTTCTTCTTCTTCTGACCCAATGGGATTTCTGATGGGATGCAATCCATAATATCATCTGGGCATTTGTTATTCGGTTTGGTGGTCAGTGTACTTATGATCTCTGATTCATTCACCTCCATACAGTCTCGTCTGCGTCGGTGAAGATATCGTTGTGATGCTCTACGAGGCACTGGACAACCTCCACTGCACCTAAATCAATCTGCAAGCTGTCGTCTAGAGGGATGGAAGAGGCACCGTCTAGTTCTTCTCCCTCTTCTGTTACGTATCCGAAACCATAGATGGTTAAGGAGAAACGCAAAGACATGAGGCAAATCAACAATGGTGATCTTTTTAGCTTTTTTTTTTTTTTACCTGAGAGCAAGTCCCATGCAGAAGCAGTTTCAAAATCGTTGCTTTTCTTAGGACTTCTAGATGGGCGCTTCCAGCATTCCCGATAAGTCTCCGGCCTCTTTCCATCTCTCCACATTATCAGCGGTGCCATCTCCATGGCTAAGCTATGAGCATCCATCTGCGTTGGAAAACGTTAAAACAGACAACGATTCCTCTTGGTTATCAGACCACAGCATCCAATCCACAGTTTCTATCTTGTCTTGCCTATCCATTTCGATAATATCACGAAAGTGTAGTTTATCAAAGAACAAAATCCACCACTTCGAGTAACTAGGATCACATTCTGTGCATGCGATGCATTATATGAAGCGTGCTGCGAATACCTTGTTCAGTAGCGACTTTTGGCTGACATGAAGCAAGAGCGAGGTTATGAACTCCAGTGTCACATAGTTTACATTTGGAAGCTTCTGGAGCGCAGTTCTCATTCTATGTACGCTAGACCGAGCATCTTTAATCTCGTTGTAAAGCTCAAAGGTAGCAAGTGGCACAGGAAGGCTTGCAAGATAGCATTTCATCAGCTCTGCAACATCAATCGGGCTCACACCCTCGGGTATAGAGGCATCGGAATCTGCAAGCAAAGTTATACATAATGTGTTTTCTTCAAGAACCAAAAGACTGAAAATGAATGCTATCAACATCAAAATCGACATCGCCTTAATCCCAAGTTTATTTGGGATCGGCCGACTGAAAATGAATAATATAACGAAGAAAAAACCCTTTTTCTGGTAATCCGCTACCTTGATTGTAAGCAGAAACCATTTGCTGAATCAGCTTTTTATCTCCTTCTGCTTTGAACAAGTTCGTTGTATTCAACCCTGAGACACATTATCACCAGAATTTTTTTTGAAGTCTTATCCAAGATGTCATGTAATCTAACAGCAGTGTTCTCCAGAAAAATGTTCTCACCTGATGATACAAGATAATCTGCGCAGTTAATCAGTATGAATGGAATAGGCCTGCTTGATTCCTGTCGCTGAACGGTTATCTCAATTGGGACTCCGAAAACTACCGGGAAAATGGATCACACGGGAGAAATTATTTCAGTTTCTAAACTTTTCCCAGAAAATTTGAGCTGAGAAAACAAGTAACCATTCAACGCAGTTGGCCAATGTCACTATCCATATATAAAACATCTACTACTTGTCTACTAAACACACTTTATCAATAGAAAAAGTCTAGCTAGCTGCACAAACTCGAAATCTTAAATATCAAATTACGATTCTAAACGTGAGTGGCAATCTAAATTCGATAACTCAATTAAGAAATCTAGACCAGATCAACTTGCAACCAGGATACTTAGATTATCGACAATCCATCACTTTATGATCATAACATAGATAACCAAGAACTCACCATCAGAACTGGCGACTCCCTGCAGGTTCATAAAGAAAAGAAATTAGAAGCTAAACTCAACGCAAGCAAAAGGCAGGAAGCCAATATAAGAATTTCATACCTTTTGCCACCTTTCTATGTCCGTTAAAATGGTCTTGCTTTTTTGTGCAGTCTTTTTCGCCACCTGATGGGAAAAAAATAGATAGCATCAGAATTTCATACACGAATTCTTAACATACCAAAGTTTTACACCAAAAAAAAAAAAAAAAAAAACATACCAAAGTTGATGAAGTTAGATAAAATCAACCCCATATATATATAACACTATAAATAAATATATATATATATATCAATTTACTTTACTACTGAGTGAGATGAAATCGAACAATCAACCATAAATACCTCCTCCACTTTGGTCTTTCCAACCGAGACCTTTTCCTTTGTCTCGGTTATTCCCTTCCTAACCAGTGTGCCGGTTGTGGCAGGGGGCC